TAAAACCATTCAATAAATATAATATGTTGTAAATAATATATTTAATAGATACATAATACATCCTATAATGTGTGCTAAACGTTTTTACGGTTTGTTATGATACTTGTAGAACATTATTGAAATGCATTTGTATACTTTTGGAAGCTCTGTAATTGTATACTTTTGGAAACTCTAATTGTATACTTTTGGAAATTCTGTAATTGTATACTTTTGGAAACTCTGTAATTGTATACTTTTGGAAACTCTGTAATTGTATACTTTTGGAAACTCTAATTGTATACTTTTGGAAATTCTGTAATTGTATACTTTTGGAAACTCTGTAATTGTATACTTTTGGAAACTCTGTAATTGTATACTTTTGGAAACTCTGTATGTGTTGCATGTAACACATTACTGTATTATGTGATAATTATTTGTGTAAAACGATATCTGTTTTTCACCATTTTCTCATCATCATTTAAGGGCATTCTCTATAAAGTGATGTTTGTAGTACATCACTTTTTTTTTTGATTATTGTACAATGTATACTCAAAGTTCCTTACATAGTACATCTTGATTATGCAATATTGTATTCTGTACCTGTATGTTTATAGTAAATCGCCTTTTTTATGAATTATTGTATTATAATTTTTTACATTTATTGTACTATGTGTATTGTAAAGTGATGTCTATAGTACATCGTTTTTTTAATGAATTATTCTATTATTTGTATTGTAAAGTGATGTCTGTAGTACATCGTTTTTTTAATGAATTATTCTATTATTTGTATTGTAAAGTGATGTCTGTAGTACATCGGGTTTTTTTTAATGAATTATTCTATTATGTGTATTGTAAAGTGATGTCTATAGTACATCGTTTTTTTAATGAATTATTCTATTATATGTATTGTAAAGTGATGTCTATAGTACATCGTTTTTTTAATGAATTATTCTATTATGTGTATTGTAAAGTGATGTCTATAGTACATCGTTTTTTTAATGAATTATTCTATTATGTGTATTGTAAAGTGATGTCTATAGTACATCGTTTTTTTTAATGAATTATTCTATTATGTGTATTGTAAAGTGATGTCTATAGTACATCGTTTTTTTAATGAATTATTCTATTATATGTATTGTAAATTGATGTCTATAGTACATCGTTTTTTAATGAATTATTCTATTATTTGTATTGTAAAGTGATGTCTATAGTACATCGTTTTTTTAATGAATTTTTCTATTATATGTATTGTAAAGTGATGTCTATAGTACATCGTTTTTTTTATGAATTATTCTATTATTTGTATTGTAAAGTGATGTCTATAGTACATCGTTTTTTTAATGAATTATTCTATTATATGTATTGTAAAGTGATGTCTATAGTACATGGTTTTTTTTTAATGAATTATTCTATTATTTGTATTGTAAAGTGATTGTGATTGTAAAACTATTGTAGTAAATCGTGTTTTATGAACTATTGTAGTAAATCGTGCTTTATGAACTATTGTAGTAAATCGTGCTTTATGAACTATTGTAGTAAATCGTGTTTTATGAACTATTGTAGTAAATCGTGTTTTATGAACTATTGTAGTAAATCGTTTTTTATGAACTATTGTAGTAAATCGTTTCTTATGAACTATTGTAGTAAATCGGTTTTATGAACTATTGTAGTAAATCGTGTTTTATGAACTATTGTAGTAAATCGTGTTTTATGAACTATTGTAGTAAATCGGTTTTGTGAACTATTGTAGTAAATCGTGTTTTATGAACTATTGCAGTAAATCGTGTTTTATGAACTATTGTAGTAAATCGGTTTTATGAACTATTATAGTGAATCGTGTTTTATGAACTATTTAAACATAGTTACTTTAATTTTGTATTGTACATTTGCTCACTGTTATAAATCTTTTTAAAAAATCTATAATTAAAAATATCTTATTTGTGACATAGACATTTGTGTCTTTTGAAGATATTTGTATATAAGAAATTAACAACTAAGAAAGTAAAGGATAATAAAATCTATAATTCTATTCAAATGTAAATGTTTCAACTTATTCTTATGTTAATTGTAAATTGGTATTAAGTCCACCATCTGCAATGTGAATGCATTTTATTGATTCAGTCGTAGCATAATAGAAAACACAAAGATCACACCAATACTTCAAAGTACCAAAGAAAAACTGAGACAGACATTCATAACATTTGATATGCTGCAGACAGATAAATATATATTTGTATACGAAAGTAAACCCAAGAAAACGTAATAAGAGATAAGTAGAAATTGCAATAAAGCCTTGATCTGCACATTGTACGTTCAGGGTAAATCAAATAAACCATACAGGATTATGTTTTAATATGCTACACTGAGCCAACCCTGAAAACAAGATCCTTCACGTTTTTACGAACACACGAGACTTGTTTTGGTCAATGGTATTTATGGATTATTAATCAGGCTTGATTTATCATAAATTTACTTGAACCACACCTTAAAATAATGAAATATCTGCAGAATTATAAATTATGTAAGAAATAAGACTGTTAAGAAATACACTACAGACTTTGATAGTAGACAATATAGGGGTAAAGAAGTCATGTATACACAATATCTCGATTATTTAGATGACATGTTTAGGGTGACATATGACTCTACCATAATTAATTTTGGTTCATGATAAGTTCACACATTTTTTACAAGTTTGCTGTGTACTAGTTGATACTACATGTATTATGTAAATACTGACACCTATATGCAATGGCCTATAGAATATGTCCACATGTCATTATCAAAAGCAAAAGATGTGTATGAACTGAGAAATTATATAAATCGAATTGCTTTTTTTTTTCAACTCAAAATACACGCGTCACAAAAATTAAAAAATGTTAATCCCAGCAACGTAATATTGTAGAAACGTTGTTGTACAAAAATATTTTATGGTAAGCTATGGCAAGAGACACTCTAAGCATCAGCAAAGATCATAGAATATTGAATATGAATATAGACGATAGGTTTGTAAATGGAGAAAAGGGTTGCTATCAACTGCCTGTCAAATGGTTCTGAGTTTATACATCTGAACGTCACTAATTTCTGAAAGTGGCCATTAACGTCTATAATAGCTTAAATGAATGATTAATCCTATCGGTAATCTGACATGTTTGAAAAAGATGATTTTGAAAGGTGCTAGACTTAACTTGTTACTTATCCAGTTAACTCGGATTTCATTATCAATTGAAGCCATATACTGCCATATACTAATGTTTGTATATGAGAGTGATAGAAAGAAAAGTAATAGAAATAAATCACTTAACAAATTAATCAATTAATTAAAAAAAACTTATTAGTCATTTAGTTTTATAGTCATAGAATCCACTCATGGCCTTCGTTAAAAACATTTCTGTTGAAATTGATCTTCGTACTTAAAATTGTCGCCAATAAAAGTCATCAATCTTAAATTTCATATGTATCATTTACAAAATTTCAATTACGAAAAGACATTCGTCGCCTTAAACAATCATTAGTTTAAAAATAGTCACATTCTCATAGCTTCTCATCAAAACATATACAAATAAATTGCAAAATCATTTATAGGTCGAAAGAAGTTTTTGGCGTAGAAAGTTTGAAATAGTAAAATTAGTGCAATGTTTCAACGCAAGAAGTTCAATGATACCTCATTTTCAAAGTACATATGCACATTATAATAGAAAATCCTTATTAGTAGGCCCACTTGCCATTGACCATTACGTACTAGATGTTTGAAGGATCCTGACTATTTCATCAGCTCACATAATGATGATGATAATGAATAATGTCCTTTCAGTCTACGGACTGTCCAAATAAAAGAGATCCGTGTTGTAAATTTCCTTGAAAAACATATTTAATTTTAATTTATATGAGTCATCATATGATTTAACGATAGGCTACCAAATTTTTCATGGTATGGACAACACCATGCCCTGTAAAGTGTATTAGTTTGTACTATCTGCTATCATGATGTATGCTGCCCAAAAAGGGCGAACAATACAATAAATATCTATCTATCTATGGGGGGAGAGGGTCGATCATTATATAGGGACCCCTTGACAATTCTATGGCTTCTACTCGCATACCCTTCTGACTTATGTTTCCTAGAAACACCACTTGTGATATCACGGGACAAAGTCATGCACAATGCGAGCTCCTACATTCCCATAAGGATGCAATTTGGATGAATGCATTGAATGAAATATAAAACCACACAGATATATGTGATCTACGTTTCTTTATCACCTGGAATCAGATTTGTCAACACTACATCTGTACAATGTGATCATTCAAACCAAATGATTTGTACGAGAGATTTTGAGAAATTTCATTGAACTTGTACCAGCATAACTCAACGTTATTATACTTGTATGAGAAAATGCATTGTACTTGAATGTGAATGATTCCTTACACCCCCCCCCCCCCCCTTTCATCCCCCAATCCGCTTCAAGCTGTTGAGTCTGGTCACAAGGTATTAAGATCTTATCGTTCGAACATTCTGTATCCTGTCATGAAAATATGTCGTGTGTCAGATACTGATAAGAACAATATCCGAGTTATATTTCCGGTGAAAATGATTAACAAACTAACAGATTTGTCATCAAATATCGTAAGATGATTCTGACCCAATAATTTCCAGTTTATTTGTAATGATAATGTCATAATGTCTAATGACTGTCGTCAATGAATTTAATGAAATCCTTTATTTGTACATTGATTATTGAGAGGGTCCATCTTCATTTCCACACAATTTGTAATATGCATTTTTATCACCCTAAAAGAATGTAAAAAGTGAAAAAGGTGACCGTGATTTCACATAACGACGAGTTATCTCATTCATGTTATTTATTCAACCATAATGTAAATAATAGTAAATATTTTACTGCTCCCTGATTGGTCATATGGTTTTAGTAGATATATGACATCATCACAGTGGGAGTGGCTTCTGTAGCAGACGAAATAATAACACGCGTTTTAACTCGACGACTTCAGTCTAAACTTTAGAATCGAGTTCATCGGATCTTATATTTTTAATTTATTAAAGTGATAAAGTATATAAAAGTGATAAAGTATTCAAAATGTCTATCAGAAATTCCGGATCTTATACATCGTTTGATAAAAGTAATATAAAATGTGTGATAGTAGGAGATACTTGTGTTGGGAAAACATGTTTAGCCCGACGTTTAGCAGCCCATGACTTCCCTACAGAATACAGTCCGACAATGTTCGATAACTATGCAGGTAGGTTCAAACCGCTTTTTAAAAACGTTTCGAAACAACATGGGCATTAAAAGATTATGTAGAAGAAAGAATGATTAAGCGTTTATAAAATTTTGGTATCTATTAACACCTAGGCGTCTTGATCTATTTAAAAACCCTAAAATGTAGACCTCGTTCAACTAACAAAAACCCAACAATTTCTAAACTGAGAAAAAATTCTATGATACATGTTTCATCACCATTATTTAAACATTTTTTCTCGCTTAGTAACTCAATAGTTTTCTAATGTTTTTAGTTGGTAGTGTAACCTTTAACTATAATTCCTACACCAGCTGTTAAATCTATATCATTAGAGCTTGATGACTAGACAGATACTTAGCTTTTCATTCACCAACTTTTTCAAAACTAAAAAACAGAACTGTTCGACCTTCATTCCAATTCTGAGTCATTTTAAAGACCCGCATTTTCTTTATTCGAGCAATGTATAAAACATTTAAAGAGACAACATCTGCCGTCGGCTTACAATGGCCTGTAATTATCACCAGTTTCTATTGTTAGTTTATTGAATAATAATTTGGATCTGACAAGACAGACATATTGAACCACAATCAGAATTTCTCACAGCTGGTTTATAAATTTGTGAACTCTATAAAATTGACTACTGACATAAAATTTTCGCAGATTAATCCCATATAATCGATTTTCGTGGATCCATGTCAAACTTGAAATTCTCTAACTTGCGCTTTGTTTTATCAAGGCTCTTTTCTTTGTGTCCTATGCCAGTGCCTTTATGACCAGACAATGAGAGACATAACTATAACTGTGTTACTATATCTATGCATTCAAGATGAAAAAAAATCGGTCTCGTTGTTTCTCTTACTATCAATTTCCGTTTTTTGTATATCTAGGTCAGTCCCTTAAAACGTATGATTTGACTCGAAGCCCAACCCATTTTCCCACGAACCTTACCTTTCGTGGCTGGATTAATACATTCATGAGATATCTTCAACCCAGTAACCTTGATGTGCTCTACCACAATACTCTGTTAAAACTATTAAATAGTAAATATCTATATCATATGTAATCAATTACGATATTCGTCTATATCAGTACTTTACTTGTAAAAGTATAATAATCTAGCTAAGTGTATCATTAAAGTCAGGCTTATCTTCATTAAAACCTCATCAAGGAAATTAAAATTCCTTTTTATACGTCACTTATTTTTATGCTTGATTCAATTTATCATCCTTTTAATTTTTTATTATTCATTTATGTTTCATTGATGTCTAATTAGTACATCAACTTCTAAATGATGACTCATAAATTTCTCTTGATTAGCTAAAAGATTTACTTCAAACGTCATATTAGTTTTACGATTTCATGGATAAATCAAAAATAGCACGATAGAGGTTTACTACAAACATCACTGTAAAGCTCCTGAATAGTTGTCTTGTCTATTCAATAACTTATAGACTTTTCAATTTCATAATTTCATGACTTACTACAAACATCACTTATACGAACTATTTCATTTAATTTCCACAGACATCTATAATTAAATGCAAATTGCTTGTAAATATGACTGCAAGGCCTTATTATTTCCAAACGACTATATTGCACTGGCTGAGACTATGGTTAATACCTTGTGGCTGCAGACAGGGTTGTTAAAACAATGTAATTCAAGGCTCAGTTTCAGTCAAAATCACACGTTTCTGTTAAATGTTTTAGTTTTAGGCCTATAGGGAATAGACAAAACTATCCTTTGCAGGGAGCTTGAAATCAACCTAAAATACTTATAAAAGACGTCACTATAACAAACAAAATTCTCCCTTTGGGCGTCTGGTACATTCAATATGCAATGTAAATGAACAAAATACTATGGTTTACCAATTTCCTTCTAGGAAAGAATTTGGCATATATTAGTAATGACGATGTACAGTGACATAGTTTTGACAGAGTGGGCGTGACGACTAATGATAAAAATGTCTATTAGAGATAATCAAAGTACTTAATGTATTAATTTTAAAGTGTGTTAACAGCAGGCCGACATCATTTATTATCTTCATATCCAACAGAGCTTACATATTTTATAATCCGAAATTCTAACTTCAAAGTTTGTTAACCCTCATTTTATGATAAAAGCAAGGACCTGTTGTTAGGAACATCTTAATACAGAACACCAATGATTTTCAGAATTGCTGATATATTGTACAATTCCTGCAAACAGTGTCAAGAATCGAAAAATTCTTCTTATGATGTCGATTGATTATTTCAAGATGCACCAGGATGACCAGAAGGTCAATCGGGATTTAATGCTTTTATTATGAGTCTGGGTATTTACCTCGTCCCTATTAGATCCTATCCGAAACGCGAATGCCTATCTGCACAAGAACTTGTATTCTAACCCATCTGTAATATTGTTTCGGCCGTGGTAAACAAGCATAAAGAAACACCATCATCAAATTGGTCTTTATCACATCATTAGAATTGTTAGTAGAGTAACTCAACTATAGAGATGGTATAAACAATAACTCGAGACTTGTATCTTATATAAATATACTCCATCAAATACAGATATAAACATTGTCTAATATTAACATTTCATAAACTCGTATAACATTCTTTAACCAGTCATCACCAACTTGGGAACTGAAATTTCTATTACAACACATATTTGAAAGCACCCGTCTGCGTCTGATAGCTTGTAAAAAATGTATAAAAAAAAGGTTGGGGAAAATGGGACTGTAGCGTTTGTTTTTTTTTTCAAATTTGACGAAAAACTGTCAGTTATAAAAAGTCTCTACCGATAGGCACAGAAACTATGTCATAAGAAAAACGTGTGGGGTAAAAGGTTGGTTTTGTACTTTATATTTATTATTTTCACTCAGATAACGTAAAAAAGGGAGTATTTCTTCATTATGATATATTTTAACCCATTAAATAAAACATTTATCAACGATATCATTAACAAAGAAAAAATCGTGAGTTTTATTTGGCAAGTCTTATCTAGGTTACTATACTCATTTAGATCGTTGTCTCTACCGACTTTCTCAAGAAATCCACGTAACCGCTGACCAATGTAGAAAATTGTTTTATTAAGCAAAGAAACCTATTTAAACTTATATAATATATGATAATGTTACATCATTGCTCGAGATAATTCACATCATTATAGGTAACGTGAGGTAAATAAATAGACTTATAGCTAATAAAGTTTTTAAGAATATAAACAAATAAGAGGCTATTGATACTGTCAAATTATTATATAATAGGCTACTGCTCTCTCTCTTCTCGGCGTCTGACAAAGATAATTTCCCTCCCAAGGGGAGGGTTCCCAGTGGTGAGGTTACCATATAACTACCACATTCACATATATGTATTTGTTACATAAAAATTATTTATGCAAGGAAGAGGAGGGGGTGAAAGGGGGGGGGGGGGGCATAAACTTTTATTGAACCGACGTTTTTCAATGGGATAAAAACGTTTTAACTATATCTCGCTAAATGTGTTAATTTCACACTTGATTTCTATATTGAATGCAAATTGGAAAGTGAATGATTCAAAGAACGGATGTCAGATAGAAAATGTTAAAATAGTTGTTGATGAAATAAAAGTCGGTAGAACTGTTATCATTTAGTAATATGAGATACTTTGAAAAAGCAGGTGTGAGTCAGTTCGTTACGGTTCTAGCCAACTTTCATCTCTTTTTAACAACTAGTACCGGATATCTACTTACTTATATTAAAATAAGTGGAAAAATATTTAAAGACTTTCTCCAAATTTTATCAACATTCCAATGAAACTGTAGTCTAAGTTTAAAATGGTAATGGTGTTCTTTTTTATCATTTCAGCAACCACAATAGTAGATGATCAGCCTTATGTTCTAAGTTTATTTGATACGGCGGGACAGGTACGAGTAATTTTCCTTTCTGAATTAAATTAACTATATAAGAAGTCTTGGATTTATTATCCAAAATCACTGAATAGTAATACCCTTACGCATTATTCAAAAACAAAATAGGCGCTGAAACCCTTCCCCATTAAATTGTTCATTAATTATTGAGCAACAAAAAAAAATTTATTAATAATTCCCACACTAGGCCTTAATGTTCTTAATTATGTGGACATAAAGAATAATAATCTAGTAAAACACTTTCATATCCATCATGAAAGTTTGAATACTGACTATTTATTTTTAAAAATCTGACAAAGATAAATGTGTATACCAACAACGTGCCAATAATAAAAAACAACTTTATTCTGGCACAGATAGAACAACGTCTACACTATGCATGATTCCATGTAAATCTAAATGTAGCATGAAGATGCACCAATTTTTGGAAGCATATTTCAGACAGATGGTCTAAATACATTTATAAAGACTTCTCGATGTTTTTGATATCTCAGATTGGTGCAACACGATTTGGCAAAGTGTTGAATTGGAAACACCATTACTTTACTGGCCCTATTCCAATTGCTATATATATCTTGTCTATGGAATATATCTACTTGACTATATATATTTAAGATTCCCAGGGGTGGGTTAATTCAAGGTGAAAACCAGTTTGGCAAGCTGTATGCAATTCATTACATTGAATAGAAATCGCTCAGTCTGCCTCCAAGAGCAAAGAGTTGAGACATGGAAGCCAAAATGGCGCTTTGACAATTCACATCCCTCATCAACATGGGCATTGTTTCGAATTTTAAACAAGTAGTAATTTTAGTGTTATCATATTGTCTTTTCAGGAAGAATTCGATAGATTACGAGCCCTAGCCTATATGAATAGTGATGTTTTCTTATTATGTTTCTCAGTCGCCCGACCAGACACATTACAACATGCCATAGACATTTGGATACCAGAGTTAAAACACTATTCCCCTAATACACCTATCATACTTATTGGTACACAAATAGATATCCGAGATGAACAAGAAGCCAAATCTAAATCCAGTGTATGCCACAGAGACTATGTCCAAACAAAGGAAGGAATCAGCGTTGCAAGCAAACTCGGTGCGGAAACGTATGTAGAATGTTCTTCGTTGACGGAGGCTGGGATCATCAGACTCAAGGAATCGGCGATTGATGCAAGCAACAAATCAACAAAACCACGAAATAATGACTGTAATTGTTGTCAAATAGTTTGAAATATCTGTTGGATATACTTGGACATTTCTTTTACCGGTCGCCCAAAACGCACCAATTGTTAGTCCGAAAAGTCGGTATTATTATAATCGGATTGGAAGATAAACCGATCTACTGGACAGTGAGGTGGTGATTATTGTTGTCAAGGATCTTATTAATCCGGTCATTAATCATAATCATCGATTTAACTCCCGCAAATTGTGGTTAACCGTCTTCAAGTGATCGACTCATTTCAAGGTGAAGTCAAGGTTGGGAGGTCCTCCATGAATTATCTCCCTTGAGTGCGCTCATCAAATACAGTAATTGAGGATTGGTTTGTGCATTATAAATAATTGTTAAACCACTAATGACAACGAGGAGTGTTTAAACCATTCAATTAAATTCTACCTCTTAAACTAGTCAAAGTACCAAGTCTACTATGGTGCGTGGAGAATATCATTATCATTTCACCAGACAATGAAGAGAGGAGTGCAGAATTTGTCAGAAATTGATTTCCTATATGAAGTTAATCTCATGACTCATGTTTTACATGGTATTATTAGATCAAAAAGCATTTGTGATATTTTCATTAGATTGAATCTCATTTTTAAATAACATTCGTTATATTAGTAATTTGGTTATATGGTTAATTATGCAACATAATTTGATAAGGCTTAAATTAATCTGATAACATTAAGACAACACAAATTGTCGTGCATGGAATGGATTTGAACTTAATCTCCCTGGAAAAAGTACTGATGCCATATTTGAGATATTTTATAAAGAAATTTGATTATAAACTGATTTGAAAACCTAATAAGCCCTATAACCAAATTATGTTGTAAATATTAAAGATATATTAAAGTATTATTTCATTGTTATCATTTTAAATTATGAGTGCAATGTTTTGTTTTTTGTATCTAAGTAAATACAATAAATTATTTTTATTATATACCGTTTTCTTTTAAATATTTATTAAATCTAGCAATATGTGTAATATAGAAGATACTGTCCTACACAAGGTGGGCCTTCCCCATCATTAGATGTATTCAGACCACATCTGCAAGTCTTCACCTCATTTTAAAATGATACCAAAGATATGGTTCAATAGAATTATTAATGTAGTTTTCCCTATTGCTTTATCATATTTCATGATTCTCAATAGCACTAAGAATTATCCTCATATCCTTATCCCCAAGAAGAAAAAATAAGGACAAGCCTGCACAAGAATAAATAGTTTTGATCACTATCATTAAAGTTGATTGAACACATGACCATTAGGTGCATCTAATTCCAATGTGGAGTTTTTCCTAAGCCAATCATATCAGTAATATTCTAATCCAACACTAACCAGATTAAAATACAGGTTTTATGATTGGATGACATTCAATCTAACAGGTCAAATATTATGAATGTTCTAAGAGTCCTATATAAACATAGAATAATTTCTATTTCTTTGAAAATAAAAGGAACATCTCTCCACAATAAAATGCTCTTTTATTGACTCTTTAGTCATTTAAATTACTCTTTACAGAAAATATTTTCACAGTTGAAATGGTTATGCATTAATTTGAGAACTATGGAAATATTTACATAGAATTTCATAGTTTGTTTTAATACTTGTATTTCCAATCGAAAAAAAGGTCATCTTAAATAACTGTTAACAAATGTCAAATCAAGTCAAATTTCCACTATTTGGCCTAAAACATATGGACAATGTAAGCAAACTGTCTAAATGAGATGAAAAACCAGTTGTTTCAGCCTTATTTTCCTTATGACTAACAAGATTATAATTTCAACTATTTGGTTTGACTCAAGACTCTAGAGTAATATTGATCAATAAAATTGTAAATATATTCCTGTTTCAACAAGGAAACTAAGTCATCATTTCCTTCTTAATAAATTATTACAGACAATATCAATTATCAATATAATGATATAAGATTTGAACAACATAATATTGTCTTGTGTTTTTTTTTATCAATATTATAAGTTGATGTGCTTTGAAATATATTTTTGTTAAAGCATTTAAAGGTTTTCAGATCACAGGATGATTTTTTTTAGTATGGCTCTCAGATGTGGTGGCTCATGTTAATGGATCTCATATATACATGGGACAGACACCCAGTGTACTGTCTTCACTGAAGGCCAATGATGTGGCAGGTAGCTATGTAATACTGCCTTTCTGCTATAATCTTCACTGGTTCAATGAGTCCCTCACAATTACCTCCCTTTCATATACATTCATATAATTCACTTACCTATGGGATAATTTAATAAAGACTGAATACACTGAGTATTATTTTCCACAAATGATTAGTAACTGATCCTCAATGCAGGTAAAGGCAGAATATCATCTAAAAGACTGAAATTTCTGTTGAAATTAGTTTAATTCAATTCATTTCAGATCTAAAGTACAAGAATTCAGTTTAATTAACAGGAAAAATTTAAGTGCAAAAACTCTGCATAAAATGAATCAAAAATTGATAAATATTAAATACATAGAGAATGGAATTTGTCCTGCAAATTATCAATGAATAAATAGACATAAAGAATCAAAAAATAAATATATAACAGAAGAATAAATAAATACATATATAGTGATCACAGTTAGTATTGATATTGATACTAATAAATTAAACACTGAAAACTTCAGTCTGGAGAGACAGATAGTTCCACAAAACTAATATTTCATTATATTACATTTTACTGAATGGTAATTTTTGATTATACCACTACTAACTATGTTAGCTACTTTTAGCAAACAGTTGTCAAACTAAGATACACCCACTAACACAGTAAATTTCAGTAGGCCAAGGGATTTATCTCCTTCAATTTTGTCTAATCAAATTCTAACTTTTCCAGATCATTTGGATATAAACCAACACATAAACCTAATCCCAAATCTATTGTCTCACAAGGCACTTTTAACATATTTTCAGTGAATGAAGGGTTGAAAATTGAAGTATAGCACTATTTCAACAACTATTATTTGTAGTCTGGTCATTTTCATGATCAAATGAGTTACTTCCCTCTACCATATCTTTTAACATCTTTAAAATAATACATACTTTTCTTCTTCCTGCATTCTTTGCTGATGCCTTTTGGTAGAGGTACAGCCTTACCTAAAATATCTGTAAATGAAAAGATATGACTATTGGCAGGCCTATATCTCTCGGATGTATAGACTGCCAGTTTGAGAAATTGTCATGAAGTCTATCAAAAGCCTTGTGATGAACGAATTTACTGAATTTCAAGAGAACAGGTTTTTTGCGTTAAGATAAAGACCCTAGTAACGGTACTGGTACGAGAGCAACACTAAAAACATTTGTGCAAATAACAGCAACAGGCATGATGTTCAAAATATGTAAAAGTTTTAAATTTTCACATCTTTAACAGCACACATATAACTAAAGAAAGTAAAATTTGGCCAAATGAAAGGCCTACCTTCAGCAGCTGTTTGAAGTTCTGTATTAAATCTTTTACCATTTGGTATTGTTTTTTGACGAATCAACACTTTCATTGGTGGTGGAAATGTCAGGTTTTGAAGACAACATATTGATATATTGACAGCTTTACTAGTAGACTGTCTACGGGATTTGACAGTTGCTTGCTTCATGTTACAAATATTGTCTGTACGTATAGTGTTAGCTGCAGGTTTATTGGTCTCCAAAGATCTATTGTGATGTTTTGATGAACTTACAGAGCTTGGATTAGATTTGGATGCCATAAACATATTCTTGGTTAAATCACCAATCACTGGAGAAACTACTCCAAGCATTGTTTGAGCTGTTTTAGACAATTTTGAAAAGTTAGATGGCTTTGCAACCAGAGTTGAATCTTCATGAGAATTATTATTTATAAAGCCTGGAGATGAAACCTCAAGGATTGTTTGAGCTGTTTTTGACAATTTTGAAATGTTTCCTTTAGAAAAAAGAGTTGATCCTTCACCAGAAATATTGTTTCTAATAACAGGAGATGCTACTTCAAGAATGGTTTTTGCTGTTTTAGACAATTTTGAAGAGTTTACTTTACATGGCTTTTCAACAAAACTTGATCCTTGATCCTTGATATGAATAGAACCAGGACCAGGAGATGAGACTTCCAGTATAGTTTGAGCTGTTTTGGACAATTTTGAAGACTTTCTACTTAATAGTTTTTCAACAATAGCAGATCCTTTACCAGAAATAGAGTTATCGTTGGTATTATATTTCATAGTAGTTAGATCTCCATTTTCTTTAAAAGATATCTTGTTTTTAGAATTATTACCATCTTTCATGCTTGTTTTCATTGAGAACACATCCTAAAAAAAATAAACTTAATACAAAATTTCAAAACAAGTGCTTTTCTCATAAGTCTATTAGTAAGTATCCAAGTATTGGCATTTTTCAATAGTTAAAAAGTGGGCTAACCCAAGATAGAGCTGTAATCCGACCAAGTCTATGAGGAATCCACCTCAATGGCCTAGACAGCTATCTTGATCAAATATTTTCATAAGAATTTGATTTTTTATATTCAGAAATATAGTTATATAACAAAATTGATAGTAAAACAGAACCATTGAGACTTCATTAATCAAACTAACCTTGTCTTCATCATCAATACAAATAACATCAGGTACTTCTATCTCCTCTACATCATAGGTCTGATAGAAATCTTTAGAATCAATATATCTGGTATCAGGTTTAGGCTGGAGAAAATCATCATCATCATCATCATTTTTTATTGATGATATACCAAACTATAATTAACAGAGGATTTTTATAAATTATTGGCATAATTCACTCAATGATTCAGTAATTTTTTTTACTGGATTGCACTTAAGATATATGTTGGATAGGTATTTATGTAGTTATACTACATATACATAGTGACATTTATTAATCATATTTTCAGAATACCATCATGACATTATAGAGCTACACTTATTAGATACTCGTAGGATTCATAGTTAAAAAAAATAGAACATAGAAATAGAAGAATATATCCACACACACAAAGCAATATTGTAATCTTTTCAGAGCAAAGTTAGTAAAAGATTTACACCAATCATCTTTAACTTGAGTTTCTAATTCAAACAGTATGGAAGTCTTATATGAATGGTGCTTTAATCCTTTCAACACTAGCTTGTAGAGCGGATATTACAGTGTTGTGTAACATGAATTTCCTGGTAATTGACGTTATATTTTCAGAGGGTTAACAATACATGATTTACTACATACCTCTGCCATAGGATGTATTCCATCACCTTGTCTAAATGTACTTTGTTTATTAACCAATGTTTTATCAACTATTATTTTAATCAAACTTAATGGTGAAGGTGGATTTTCAATTACTTCCCCTACGTCCTCACTACAATTTTCAGTTGAACATTTTCTTTTATTCTTTGATTTATTTTTGATTGACTGTCTTCCTGTAAAATAAAATCACAGTAAATTTACAGTTTACAAGCTTCAGGACTTTGAAAAATAAGCACCTGTATGTCTATTAATATGGCCATTTGCTTTAGTTCAAATGGAAAGAACCTTGTTGTTTTACTATATTAAATTTAGCATAATTAATCCCCTCTAAAATTAGCCATGTGTCATAACAAATAATGCTTGAATAGGAATATAACAATGTTACTTTATATACCTGTAAGTTGTATTATTGGAGATAAATCAGGTATACTGAGGTCTGAATTATTAGTCTGAAATAATCTGGTAGAACTAACTGGTTTCTTCTTTTCTTCAATAATATTACAACTCTTCTTTCTTCTTTTATTTCTAAAATATCATGGTTGTAGGTTGTAATCTCAGTTGGCCTTTGAAAGACTCATTACCTTGACTAAGTCATCTTCACTCATAATCCCAGTCAACCTAGCTGTAAATGGGTATTGATGATTTGGGGAAAATTAAAGCCAAAAGGTTTGGCCAAGGACCACCTGGTAGAAAGGACCCTTTGTGAACTTAAGTTGTTATCCTTCAAGAAATGGGTAACTTATGATCTCATTTCCCTCTCACAAGATTGTCAAGTATATTCTATTACTGGACAATGCAATTTCAGGCATTTTGAAATTTATAAATTCAAAATATACTCACCCAGAGTGTAATGCTGGGAACCTACTTGGAGTTGTTTCTTCAAAGGTTTGCTTTGAGCTACCTGAAATATTATAACACAGTTTTTCTCATAAAGATGGAAAAGAAAAGACAGATTTAATAATGTAAGATAGTTATTTCATAATCTGTTCTTATAATGAAATCAGAATGAAAGAAATGATCTGTATACATGTATGTGACCATATTTTTGACTCAAGCTATATTTATTACTTCTGATAAAACTTCAAAGAAATATAAGATATGAATATCGTACCCGATGTAATAACAGAAATGTCCTGAGTTAATTCTAGCAGGTTATTTTGATGTCCATCTACTGCTGTGGAATTATGAAATTTACGAGATAATCCGACAGGTATTGATGGTGAGTCATGGAGGTATTTCGGAAGATTCTCATATTGTATAGATACACCAGTAGTTGTAGCTGTTTCTAGAATGAGAAAATTTATGTTTGTGTAATAAACTGACTTAAGTCTCTAAAAGGCGAAATGGACAAAATACACAGATTATTTGCCCAAATTATAAACAAACTATTATTTCATATATTATCATACATTCAATTTTCAAATATTTCCCAATATCATATTGCTTTGAATATATTTGATTTGAAGAAAATGTAGTTAAAAATGAACAAGGATTAATAGATGTATATTAGATCACAATGGTCACTACAAAGCATCGTCTGAATGACAACTTTTTGATTCTTCACCAAATATTGAAAAAAGCAACATGTAAGAGGATAAATATATAGGATAACTGTTATTCAATAAGCATAGTTTACCTGCCACTTTCAAACATTCTGATGAGTCAGTGTCTTCAAATACATCATATTCTAGATCTATAAGCAGACAACATTTTTATATGATCAACAATAAGCTTATGAATTTAATTTGAGTCTTTGCCTTTTAAACTTCTCTGACATTATGGTCATTTGAATGAATAACAACACAAATGAAACTTACCATCAAGTTCAGGAATAGGTCTATGATCACTTGGTACACGTTTTCTTTTAACTGGCCTTGGAGACTTGAATTCTACAGAATAGACAAACTTGTATTTTCCAAGAGCATAAACCTTCAAACTGAGATATAATGCATACATGAAGAGAACACCAAACAATACTGCAGTCTCACAAAATAAAACAAATATTCACAAGAATACCAACGTAGGTTATCCAGTTGCAAGTTTACTTGGACAATCTTTTGGCAATGATGATTATTATGGTACTCAGTTACAAGTGAAAATGGATCACTTAATATATGTTGAGACAGATTAAACTCAATAAAGGGTTGAAGAGTAAAAATTGGCAACTACAATAACTAGCATCTTACAAACCTTTTCTTATTCTAGATGATCTATTAAACTTCTGCAAAAATTTACTGAATTTTACGGATCTTTTTGGTGCTGAAAGAAAAAAAAGGCTCAAGAATAACAAAATTCGAAATTTAGCAATTTATTAATCATAAATAACCTTTTAGACTAATATGTGGCAAGCTGTATTGTTGTCTATCAGTTGAAATCAGTTAAAGTTTGAGCCTCAGTCTATCAGCAGTTGAAGTGGGAAATCACTTACAAACTGACTATATAACTGGATGTGAAAAGAATTTCAGAGTGAAAAGATGCACTACTTACAGGAGAATGTCGCACCTGAAACATCTCTCATAACTTCAATATCATCTTCTAATATCAGATCTGAAACAATATCATTATTTTGAAAAAATACAATAATTTAACTATCTCTATTATGGTGATGAAGAAATTTGTATCAGATTATGCATTGTCAAATGTAGATTAATTTGCTGTTTTGTCTAGCAGTAAAAATATTGCATAACAAACACTTTGAAATACATCTAACCTTTTGATAATTGAGTGTCAGAGAACAAAATGTCATACATATCCTGAGCTCCAAGCTACATAATTGAAAGTCTATGACATACAAGTTATGTGATATGGTTTGAGAGCTGACACCAGGGCAACTCTTAAAAGCAATGGTCGTGAAGTGTAGGTAGTGGTATTTCTCTAAACTTTAGAAGGATTCGAACCCATGGCACCTAATTGCCTAACAGATGAAAATCGTGACACGAAATGTCATAAAGGAAGCATTCACCTTCCATTTCTTCTTCCACTATTTCTGTGGGACGAGTAACAGTTGCAGGAACTTTCTTTTTCTCAACTTGTTTCTTTTTCTGTCTTCTATTGCTTTTCTTTGGAGAAGATTCAGAAAATAACTGCCATACATTATTAAAATTTGTTTTTGAAGTATTAGGCCTATGTGGCTCTGAATATGACTTTTCAAACCATCCAGCATTCTTTGGAAGGAGTCTCTTCTTAGACCTTGTTAAAGGTTTTGCTGGGAGAATGCTACTGTCTGAAGATGATGATGATGATGATGATGATGACGGTAACTTCTAAATAATGAAAAATGAATTTGTGAGGTAAAACAGTGAGTGAATATTTAGAAATTTAAGTACTAGTAGGTTACACTTAGCCTATTAATTTCTTAACTGTTCTTGAATTAAACTTTGAAGACCATAAAATTTACAATTTGTATCATATTTGCATTTTACCCTGCTTATATTCCTGGCAATAATTCCCTTGCAAATGGATCTATATGGCTGAAGACTAACTTTGGCCCTTGGATTAAGTCTAAGCTCAATATGAGTATGTAGGGTAGGTAGGGGTGTCCTACTCACACTGGACTTTATTTGGTAGAAATGTGGCCTATTGTGGTGTTAGTAGGCCTATCGTTGGCACTTGTTTCTATTTTATTCCATTGAGTAAGAATCTACAGATTGTAGTGTAGTCATATTTTTGCTCTGTGAAGAACTTGGAGAAATATTAACAAATGCTCGTGGACGTGGTTCCATGACTAGTGTCATATGGAGATCAATCGCGTGGTCACAATCGATTTTCTGTTGACTCTTATATAAGGGTAGTCCTATATCATCCGCAGATGCGAACTTACAACCATCTTATTATGCGTTTGCAGACACAGGCGTGTTTTTTCTTTCAAAATGATTTCTGCGAGCACTCGTCTAGTCTAGTTGCTACTGCTATTCCATCATGTTTATATTTCCGGTTTCCCGCAAATTTATTACTTTTGACTACTGGATAATCGAAACTAAATTACTTTTAAACAATTTCATTGGATGACAATTTAAGAGTAAATGTAATAGTGTCGCTGATTGGATGACTAGCAGACGACAAAACACGTGGGTTTGTTATTATTTTTTGACAGGTTGGTACTAATGGTAGGCTAAGCACCCTCTTATCTTCTTATCCTTCCAAAAGATCAGTTTTTATTAGAACACGACACCATAAAAAACTTGGAAAATTCTCGAGATCTTCTCTAAAGCAACCAATACATTAAGAACTGAATGGAAACTTGCTATCAGTATCACAAACAAACGAAAAAAAACACACTCCTCTTTCTTTAGTCTTTCTCGAGTTAGTCGTAGTCTTATCCATCCTGAACTCTGGTGCCAATAACAGCGAAGTTGGATTCGTGAACTCGGCGCATTGATCTTCCTTTTGTGGATAGACATTATCTTATATTTACAGGTCTTCTGTTGTGAACATTTTCATCCTTTTCAGTCCAATTGTTCAACATTTAAGGCGAGTGTACTGTATATGTATGGCATGACCTACCTGTCAAGTTCTCCGTACCAAAGAGTACCATCAACACCACAAGTCAGCACTAGAACCAATCTTTTCAGCTCACCATCATTTCGGGTACCACAGATCCAAAATTTGTATTCATCACCTGTCCCTGATCGCACTGTGGTGGTCGGTATGTATGAGCTATGTAATATACTAGCTCCAACCATTATCGCATGCTCTGTTTTACCTACCATCTACATATTTAACAGTTGACTATAGAATTATTCGTGTTAATATGTTCACGGATTATAGCTTTAATACAAAAGACAAAAAGAAACATCGAAATCGGATTTTACCGTTTTAGTTTTAATACACAAATCAAGATTTGAGTCCCCAGGAGAGTGTCACCTGTGCAACATTGCTCTGCTGCTCATAAAGTAAAGACACAAATTTCATATTATGATAAAATATAGCTAACACGATCCACATCTACACTCATATTCACACTGCTAGGCTATTATAAACTCCGTCTTATACCTTAACTAAAGAAGCCACATTTCTTGTACCGCGGAATGCAGTAATTGTATGCCAGTAAATAAAGCTTAGACCAATATATCACTATCAGATATATCAAAAGAATTAATTATAATTTTATTTCAGACGTTAGAGATGGACTCCAATCATCCCCAATAAACCCATTTCAGTTCTTATCCCAAGATGATAGTGGTTTGATTTCAGAGGGTAGGTGCTGAAATTTAACTTTTCACTTCTATCTCTCATTACCATATTCTTTGGTATTATTTGTATGATCGTGGAGACTGATGTAAGTTTACAAACTAAAAATGTATGGCCTACACACTAAAAAAATGGACGGCCTACACACCAAAAATGGATGGCCTACACACTAACAATGGTTGGCCTACTCGTAGATAATAAAAGATTGCTGTATTTTCCATTTCAGGTGCTGCAGTAGGAGATGGAGTGGAACAGATTGTACCAGCAACTCCGAATAGAACCACTGATTATGCTTCTGGAAGTCAAATCCAAGTGCCGTTTACTATCGATCCCTGGACTTCAGAGACGCCACAAATGTACCCCTTTAGGTTTCAAAGCCAAATGTTTTCACAGACTTCAGTTGATCTATCGCAAGATGAGATATCGATTGAAAATTCGCGAGTTACCGAAACAACGACAGATTCCAGGCTTATCATACGACGCACACCTTCTAGTCAGCGAAGAATCTCGAATGCCTCACGTGTTTCCAGCCCCCGCTCGGGGCCTAGAACTCGAACTTTTTCAAGGCCCATATTACCCAATATGCATAGAACACCACAACATGTGGAAGACCCCCAGCCTAATGACTCTTTGAGAGCACCAGAAGTTTTCAGTGATGTACTGCATACACCAATCAGACCATCGGGAAGTATTCTGAGAACAAACTTGAGACGAACTCCAAGGCGATTATCAAATGATCCGGTGATCCATCCAGACTCGCGAATAGAACCACCTGAGCAAGCGCGGGAGCAAGTGTCCCTGGAATCTCCAAAACGTCTGAATGTTCAGTTGCAAAGACACGCTAAACCTCTTTTAGATCGTGTTTCAAGATCTAGTTCATCCAGAAATTCCTCTGTGGGCTCTGAATTAGATATTTTTTGTACGGATAATATATTTGGCTAGTAATAAATACTTGAAATAAGCTTTTTTTTATTTATTAAAATGAATAAGCGATGAAGGAAATATCTTGATCTAGGATACTCTCGTTTTGTTGGTAACACTCAACCCTGTGACCCTTTTTTGATGGTCGATAAGAATTTAGTTTCGTTCTACTGCACAGGTGACATAAAAGATGGTGTAGGGAGAATGGCGGTATGGCTGAAATCAGGGGCGGCGATCCGTTTTGCAAACAGGGGGGGACACATCTTTTTGGGCTCCTGGTCGTAGCCGGCCAAATCCTTTTGGGGGGTCAATCAAGGGGGGGGGGGGGGGGGCAGTTTAGGTATACCCCCCCCCCTCCCGGAAAACT